TTCCTTCCTTCCTTCCTTCCTTCCTTCCTTCCTTCCTTCCTTCCTTCCTTCCTTCCTCGTTCATTCAACAGACTTTTACAATTGCCTGCTTTGGCCTTTGCATGTGTCATTTTAGATGCTGGAGAAGATCAGAAGACATATAAGACCTGACTGAACATCTCAAAGAATTTAGAGTCTAGTTACCTTCCTTGTATATTTAGCTCTTTTGAAGGTACGTTCAGGGTTAGAACAAGTTTTGATGGGGAGTCAGGCTATCCCGAAACAGTCAATAGTTTTCTTGGTAAGAAAGTAACACGCAGACCACTTTCTTGAATCACATAGCAAAGCCCCACTCTTTGCAATCCATCCTTCATCCTTTTCTTGACTTCCTTTCTTGGTTATCACTTGACAGTCCTATGACTTTCTGGACTCACAGAGTGACCAGCAAGCTAATACATATCCCACCAATAGACTCTATACTCCTTGAGGGGAAGTCCTGTTTTTTACTTTGCCTTTGTATTCCTGGGACTCATCCACTGTCAGGTACATAGTGGATACTTAGTGAATGTTTGTAGGATTGGATTGGAAGAGGTGATTCATGATTTCAGGACAAGGTGTTTATTACTTTATGAGTTTCTTTTAATAACCGGATTTAATTCAGTTCAACAAGTAGACAATATATGCACAGCTCCTATGCACATGGAGATGCTCAGTAAATGCTTATTTAATAGTAGAGTTGGATTTAATTCTTCTTCTCAGATGAGTACCATTTTCATGAGAGGCTGCTTATTACTTAACCCTAAGATTTACTAAAATAAGGATTTTAGGGTCAGTAGAGGAGACAGTTGGTCTTACCCCCTTTGCTTATCTCCTTAATGTTAAACTAATTAGAGAACCACCCACCCGATCTATTAGAAAGGCCAGCTTGAAAATCTTGTCTCTCCCCTTAGTCCCATGGGAACTGGTTTGTCTCTCGAGTGAGGTTAACCTAATATGATTACTGCGTATGACTTGTTGGAGTCTCTCTCTAGGCCGTCCTCTCCTACGTTCTCCTTCTCACCTGAATACTCCTATAGGACTGCAAAGAAAGAGCGCACACAAAAAAAGAACTCTATTTGTCCTGGGAGATATTTGGCTACAGTATTTAAATGAGCTTTGTCTCTGTGACAGTTGTGAGCCATATTTAAGCAGTATCTTTCTTCTAAGGAACTTAAAACCTTTCTTAGTGACTGGCTAGCTAATGTGTCAGAGCTTCTGAAATGTATTCATAGTAAGCTGACAACAGATTTGAGGGCCTTTATAGCTAGATATGTCAATATCAATATGTAATTTTAACCAGATATCTTTTTATGTTTGACTCAGAAGGCTAAGGGGAAATAGAGAAGAAAGAATTATTTGAGAATTCATTATACAGTTTTGGCTTCTCTGTGATGCATTGCAAGATGGCCAAAGTGAGTGAAACCTCACTGTGAAGGAGCGGGTTTGAAGTATTGTAATAATAAATGTAATAATAATAACAATAATAATAGCAACAATATTCTCATGGGGTTTTTTTTTTTAGCTTTTAAAAACCTTTTTCTCAATACAATTATAGAAGGTAAATAGTACCAGCTTGTAATTGCCATTTTCAGACAAGGAAATGAACTCATGGAAATGAGGTGATTTGCCCAGGGTCATATGATGGTAGGGGCCCTTTTTTCTACTACTCCATAAGGTCTCTCCCAACAGCCATACTAGACTACATCTAACATCCTTCTGGAATGTGAGCAAAAATTCTATTGAAAGGGGTCCATGAGTCACCTTAGTTATGCAGAATTTTAATATTAAGCATATTTTGTTTGTGATTTTCCAGTATCATGCTTGTAAAACCCCAAACCTTTTATTTTAACTCTTTACATAGATGATGATCTAGGAAAGTCAATTCAACAAATATTTTTAAATGTTTATACTATATATTTAGTACCGGGTAAGGCATTACAAGGACAAAGCTTAAAAATCTCCTATTCTCAAGCTTACAGTCTATTGGAGTATTTTATTGATTTAATTTAAAAAAACTTAAAAATATAGCATCTTAGTGCCAGGTGTATAATAGGTATTTAAAACGTTTGTGGGATTATATTTCAGGATGGATTTTTTGATCCTCATTTGATCCTCCTTGCAACACTACATTATAAGGAAGGAATTATGGGCATTTTTAAATGGTGCTCAAAGTAGAAGTGGAGGGGTAAAATGCATGATTTCATTAGTGTAGGAAATGCTTAATAAAGAAAGTTCAAATCAATGCAAAGCAAAGCAGATCAGTGTCTGGTCTGCAACTTATGGTCTATGGGTGCTATTAACCTCTACTTGATATCTGATGAGACTAAAGTGATTTGCAAACTGTAACCCACCTATTGCATATCAGAAGCAAGATTCAAACCCAGGACTCAGTCTAGCAAGCCATTTCTATTATTTACAGAGGAACCAAATTGATAAGGCATGTAATCAATCAGCAAACATTTATTAAGTGCCTACTATGGGCCAGCCACCATCCTGGGCTCTAGAGATATAAACAGTGAAAGAATCTTTGCATTCTCAAAAAGAAGCATATTGGACATCTGCCATCATACCTTAAAATGGGATCAGGCAGTAAATAATCAATCATTGGGAATTTCAGGACTGCTCAGTAGTTTCCCTACTTAAGATCCACTCAAGTTGTTGCCTCTAAAAAAAAAGTAATAGGCCAAGGGAGTGAAGCCTTAGACACATCAGGACCAGCTGCAATTCTACTCAAGCCTAAGCCATAATAGACTTTCACCTGAATGGAGAGGTTCTTGTGTAGATGGATCTTCAGGGAATGCTGGGAGTCTGAGGTGAGACAGAGATGAGATCAGCCTATCCTTTGTATGCTAATGCAGCCAGCCAAACCAGGAGCATGAATACAGGGAAATTCTGGAGCAGCTGCATCTATCTCCTTATTATCTCCCAAGATGGATTGTTCCAGGCTAAAGGAACATCACACATGGACCGAATCTCTCACTGCCCCATGGAGCCTTTACAATCTCCATTTTAATAACCCAAACTGCAGGGCAGCCTGACTGTTAGCCTAGCATTTCTTCAGAAATCTTTCTATTACAGGACAGGATAAAACCATCACTAATACGAACCAACAATATTATTTCCAATGTAAGCATTTTAAAAAGGTTGCTTGTACAAGGAAAGACAAATTCTCCGAATTACATGCTATTTTGCAGTTAGTTGGCAATGATAGTGTGAATTGTATTACACTGGATGTTACATTGGCTTCTGTGTTGCACTCAAACACATGAACTGTGTAAACAGTGTTAGATGTTTGATTAGCATTAATATGAAAGATGGGACGATTAGGTAGGATTTCTTCAGAAAGGCCTTACACTTATTGTGTAGCAGTCTTTTGTACGAAAGAAAAACAGAGCTTGAATTTAGCATTCAAAAAAATATTCGCTTTGACTCAGTGCGTTATTTTTCAGCTACGAATTTACTGGCATCTAAGAAATGCGACTCTTTTGTGGTACACTGAGGCTGTTGGTGGATACTAAGAATTACGTTATTCCTTTTTTTTTTTACTTTTTCTTCTCCATCTCTCTCCCTTTTACAGTTTTTATTTTGCAGCCATTTTTAGCACTTTTTATTCTTGGTTTAAAGTGGGAAATAGCATTGCCAGAGGACTAAGGAAAAAGGTTATATGACCTTCCACAAATGTCCTCTTCAGGTCTCAATGGCTTTTTCTGTAAAACGAACGGATTTTACTGAGTTATTCATAAGATTCCTATGATCCCCGAATCCTATGTTCCTAGTCTTATCCTCTGCTTGACGATGTAAACTAGGTAAGGAATAGGTTTCAATGTGTACATACAAAGAGGAACCATCTTAAGTGATTGTAATACAGTACATCTAGTTATCCTTAAATAAGCTTACTTTGAATATTCCCCTAAAACTCTATTTGGCAGAAGAAATATTGAGAACCTACTATGTGCAAGGCACAGATGAGTTTTAATAGTTCTTATCTTTGTCGTTCAACTCAACAAACATTTCTTAAGCAGTTTCTATGTGCAGAGCATTTTGGGTTTGGTGACAGAAAGACACAAACAAAATCCTCCCTGCCCTCAAGAAGCATACCTTCTTCTGGCAGGATAGGGGTGAGGTGGAGGTGCAGTGATGGGTCCACAGATAAGTAAATAAAAGAATAATGGCTAGATATCTGGACTTGGAATTAGGAATATTTGGAAGTCAGGAAGGTAGACACACTAGCTATGTGTTTCGGGACACACATAGTTCTATGGCTTTCATTTACCTTATCTGCAATATAGCAAGGAATGGTCGTGGCATGGCAGACTCTGACCTCTTGGGTCCCTCCCAGCTCTAAATCTATGACACTTATACAGAAGAACTGTCCAGAGGTTGATAACTACTTGGCAGATCAGGGAAGGAGTACAATACCTGAAGGAAAGTAAGGATTCTATAAAGCAGAGATAAAGAGGGAATGAACTTTTTCAAAGACAGTTTTGCCAGGTCAGGCTCTTTGATGCTGTATTACTTTTGTGCAGTTCATTTCCATAGGGATGATAATTTCTCAGACCAAGTATAGCTCTGTTTCTTAGCATTTACAGTACATCTTCTATATATCTATACTTGCTAAGAGTTTTCTTCTCTAATCTTTGTAGCCTTTTAGTTGAAATAGGCAGAGTGAGAAGGCCAAAAGCAGAGAAACCTATAACATTTCAATCATTAGCGATAGATATTTTATGAATTGTGAATTTAGAGACTTTCACTATAACCTGTTTCTACTTAAATTTCTATAAATTCAGCAGGAAGATTTATAAAGAGTATAATTATCAGTATTTCATCTTATATCAAATGGAACCAGAAATGGTCTATTGCAGAAATTTATGTACACGATCTTTGTTGCCATTAATGTCCATGCAGTGACCTGTAAAACATCTAGTTACAGCTCTGTTCATATTAGCTCCCACATACTAATGATTTATTTTCATTTTCTCCAGGATATCAACCTGCTGCTAACTGAATTTGATTGATCAGAGGGGAATCCAAAATAAATGGCTACTCTCGTTGTACTGCTGCTGTGGAAAATGGAACACCAGTGGCTAATGGGACATGGTTTGATAAAGAACATCAAGTAAAGATGTTTCAATAAATGTGAAATCAATGGAAGATCCTTGCTGTTTGAAAAGCTTTTTGAGATTATCCTGACAGGCTCCCCTGGAAACCTGAGGGAACATTCCTTCTTCGGCTGTCTTATTTTTCACGAGTGGATACAAATACTGTTACTTCCTTGTCAACTCCACACCTCATGTGGGACCATGGTCCTGCCAAGATCCATGTGGCTGAACTGTGCCTGGGAAGCAGGGATGGCACATCTTGTACCGCGGGGATTGGACGCCACACTGGCCCTGTGCATCTTTGGTTGTTTGCTTCAGGTCTCTGCTGTGTCTTCACAAAAGTTGGATGATGCTGACCCACTGGTGACGACCAACTTTGGCAAAATAAGAGGGCTTAAGAAGGAACTCAATAATGAAATTCTGGGGCCTGTGATTCAGTTTCTTGGGGTTCCATATGCAGCCCCACCTACAGGGGAACGCCGTTTTCAGCCTCCTGAGCCCCCATCCTCTTGGTCAGACACCAGAAATGCCACTCAGTTTGCTCCTGTTTGTCCGCAGAACATTATCGATGGCAGGTTGCCAGAAGTCATGCTCCCTGTTTGGTTTACTAATAATTTGGATGTAGTTTCTTCCTACGTACAAGATCAGAGTGAAGACTGCCTCTATTTAAATATCTATGTCCCAACAGAGGATGGTGAGTTAACTGAAGGAAAAAAAAAACAGCAAGAATTTTAAAAATATATAAAAAATATATTATTCTTCTAAATTCTAACAATATTAATTCATGTATACTGGTAGCAAGCATGGCTTTCTGTTGTTGGCACGAAGGCATTTTCCACGTATGCATGTGGCTTATTTGTGTGTATTCATGTGTATATGCATATGTTTTTTTAATTTTTTCCCCCCTGTTTCTACTTGTTTTATTTCTCCCATAGCACGTGTGTTTAGGCAGAAATTGGTTCTTAATTCCCATTTCCTACTCAATGCCTTCAGGAAAGATGCATCAGCCTTCCTCCATTTTGCATGTGCAGGCACAAGAAATAGGCAAACTTTCGCACTCAAAAAAAAATGCAGGAGTTTAGACTTCAGTGAGCTAGTGGTATTGCATGCTCCGAGTGTCTGTGATGGAGCTCCATGTTATTTTCTAGTCTTCTATTCATTTTTCAGTAAAAAGAATATCCAAGGAATGTACAAGAAAACCCGGCAAGAAAATTTGTAGAAAAGGAGGTATGTATAAAAGTGGAAACCAAAAACGGGGGAAACAAAGGCTTGGAGAGGAAGAACAAGATAACACATCCAAAGGATAATTTGCTGATATGCTGAAGTGAAAGGTTAGGCAATATCTTGTATTTAATGAAGCTCACCAAGGAGTTGAAAGATGGCGGAAGAGGAGAGTAGCAAAGAGGATAACTTCTATAAACCATCATTGTCTCTCTCTTTGGTTCCCTGGTGATGGTGGCAGGGGCAACATCTGTATCTTGACCTAGTGTTTGTTTCAAGGATGCTGAAAATATTTATGTATTGACAAAGAGCAGGAGCAGAGATCTCTTAATGACTGAAAATGTGTATTCTCTGGACATTTTCTCTACATAAGCGTCCTAACTTTCCTGTAGTCTCTTCTTGTCCTTTACAAAAAAATTAGTGAGAACAAATAGTCAGTTTTCTTTTTGCTCGTAGTTTCCCCTATGTAAACTTACATTACAAGGGTAGTGAAATGTTCAAAATATTTCGCCATGGCAATTTGGCCACTGCTGTTTTCAGGTAGTATTTTTCTTCACACAGTATTTAAATCTCGTTGTCAATTCCCAGCAGAAATGGAGATCTTGCAGATTTCGTCCCAAACATTTGCAGATTTTCAAAATTACTCTAACACTTGTATATTTATGTTCAACAACTTAAAACATGGGAAATAACATGATTCAGAAGCTACAATTAAATCAACCTTTAAAGCATCCTCTAGTTAGATTGTGCAAGTGGAGACATTCACAGCTGCAGGCTTGCGGAGACTTAATATGTCTGAATGTGGCTTGTCCAGACTACATTTTTTAAAAAGTTTCCTATTCTGTAAATCACCCATAGGAGAGTCAGACCTGCTGGGTGGGAGATTGTGGATGTGCTCATTTGACTTTAATCATAAGAATGTAGAAATCTCAGCTAGGTTTCATATTCAGGCTTTGGTGACTTCATGTTCTAGTCTTCTCCAAACTCTTGGCTACTTCAGATCATATTTATTATGAACATCCTCAAGGACAGTTCAGATTATTCTAGTGTTCCGACCCAACAACTGGAGATCGGCCATATTTTTTTCAGACATTTCATCATAATGGTGGTATTCAGAGCAATGTGGTTCAATATGTCTTCTTCCAATGGAACATGCAAATTTGTGGCATCATGGTATCATTGAAGGAGATAAGTGTAAGAGAAACAAAAGCGCTTTGAATAAGTCACAACAAAGTCTCTTATTTCTCCAAAGTGAGAGCAACTGAAATCATTTACATGCCTTCTGCTAATGTACAATTCTGCTGTAGTTATCACGTAGTTTATCAAGTATGTGTAATTAGCACAGCAACTTTTGCCTCCTATCACTGAAAGGTTGATTCTCAGTTATAAGTAAAGATGCTGGTAAAGAATGCATAATTATAGAGCATATTATGCAAAAATATATACAGATAAAATCAAGGAAGATAGTAGGCCAAGAAAAATAAAGAAGAAGAAGAAGAGGCCAAAGGAGAGAACATAATCCTTCAGGTTATAAACAACTTTAGGAGATGTTTTAGTTTAATTGGAAAATTCTTTGTCACTAGCTTTTCTTTGAACCATTTCTGCAATCTATAATATGCTGGTGCTAGTAGGTATTTGTGTGGGCATCCTTCACTTGCATGGGTAAAGTCAAGTGTCTTCATCAGAGAGGACAACTTCTTGATGACATGAACTTCAGGACACTGGACTCACTATGATATTTGGAAACGCCTTTGAAGCCTTCTAGTCTCACCCCCTACTTGAACAAAACAAAAGAGCCAACATTTAATCACTCAGCCTTCATTCTAAACTTTTTATTAATAAGGGAAAAAACCCTGTTAATTCCCAGGGCCACTCATTCGATGGTTAGTTAGTTCTAATTTTTTAAGGCAATATTTCCTTATATTAAGCCTAAATGTGCCTCTCTGCAACTTTTGTCCATTGTCTATACTTCTGCCCTCTGGAGCTTGGCAGAACAAACCTAGGTAATGTCCGTGTGTCAGCTTTTCCAAAACCTGAAGAAAGCTCTTGTCCCCCCCTTCCCTCTGGCCCTCTGAGCCTTTTCTTCTCCAGGCTTTCATCAGTGTAAACCCACAATCCAGGTCACTTCTGTACACAAAATATACAAGTGTAAAACATTATATACTTGTACTAATCCTTGGGTAGCAGTGTCAGGACCACTCCACATTCTGTGGTACTATACTATAACAAAGGAGATGGGAGGAATGGTATCAGTCTAATTTTCTGCACGAATGGAGTTCAAGAATGAAATAAACACCACCCATTCCAGACAGAGAATAATAGTGTCCTTTCTTTCAAGCTTCAGTAGAATGTCCCCTTATCTTTTTCTAAAAGATTGTTAAAGCTCTCCTTAGGACTAGTTGAATGGTCATTTACACACAATACTGGGCACTCTCTAAGGCTTTTGTTGTTGTTGTTGTTGTGGTTGTTTTTGGTTTTTTGGCGGATTTATATACTATCCTATAGAAGCTCATCTTCGAGGAATAATACAGATTTTACATGTCAGTTCAGATAATACAGTGAAAAGTCTTCTTGGAATATTCCAATGGAGCCATGATTCCATGAGGGAGGGACATGAAGATTCTTGCTAACTAGGCAGATCTAACCCATTGGTACCCATCCTGACTAGACAACCCTAGTTCATAGCTGCCCAGGAATTAGCCACAGAGAGTACCCCCACCACACTGGTAGCTTTCCTCAAGTTCTCTTACGTTGCTAGGGTACCAATGGGACATTTAAGCAGTTCACAGGATATTCCTCTCTATCCCTACATGAATAGCTCATCTTCTTTACTGCTCAGATGAGTCTTTGATGAAATCATTTACACTGTCTATCAAAATAGTCTTTTTTTCCCCCCAGTAAACCACAACTCTAATCAGCTAGTAAATTCAAATTTGTCTTTATCCCTCTAGTTTTCTGTTTTGAAAGGATCAAATGGCCAGGTGAAAAATATTTCTGCAAATGTATATTTCCTTATGTACAAGAGGGAAGAAAGTCTCCTTAAAAGGACTACTGTTGTATCATATATGTTTAGACACACACATATATATTACATTTTATATATAGTATGTAGTATATTCATGCACACATGTATAGAAATCTCTATCATCTCTATCTACATAATTATTTTCTGCTTAACTGGCAAAGTTCTCCTTTGATGCCAAAAGGTTCCTCCTCTTTTAAAACATTTCCCAAGTGCATTTTTTCCTCATCTATCCTTTTATCTTTCTCATGATAGTTTTATCCATGTGTTAATTACTGTCTTGGTTCTTCAGGGCTGTCTGACCTAGCTAAATAGAAGGAAAGATTGAGATCAAAATGGAAATAATTACAATGTTTTATGCAGAGATTGTTGGACTGGATAATCTCAATACTCCACCCCCAATCTTCCATCCTTTCATCCTTCCTGTCTTTTTCTTTTCTTCCTTCCTTATTTTCTTCCTTCTTTCCTTCCTTCTTTCCTTCCTTGCTTCCTTCCTTTCTTCCTTCCTTTTTTCCTTCCTTCCTTCCTTCCTTCCTTCCTTCCTTCCTTCCTTCCTTCCTTCCTTCCTTCCTTCCTTCCTTCCTTCCTTCCTTCCTTTCTTCCTTTTTTTCCCATATTATTCATTTTTATTCTAGAAACATACTTTGTATTACTTCTCTGTGTTCAATGGTATTCTAGGCAGTTTAGATACAAACATGGCCTGTTTCTAGTAAAGGCTAATAAAGAGTACGGGTAGTTATAAGTCACAGATAATGGAAAGCAGGCACTATCATGTAGTAGATTATACCCTGGAATTGGAGTCAGGAAGAATTTGGTTTGAATTCTGCCTCTGATACTTACTGAGTGTGTGACCCCAGGGAAATCAACTCACCTTTCTGGGCCTCAATTTCTTCACTCCTCAAATGAGAGATTTAGACTGGACGATATCTAGGGTTTCTTTACAACTATCGGTCTATGACCCAGTAACATATTTTAGCCAATAGCTTCAAAATCCACTCATCTTGTTTGTCAGAACTGATTAGATGATAGTGTTAACCAATCAGCATCACCTCTCTGAAAGAGCCAACACTAGGGTAGAATAACAGGGGCTTTGCTCCAAGGTACCAAAATTCAGAGAGCATTGATAGAGTCCATACACTTCAGCTGCATAGAGGCAGCTGAGCTTGGTGACCTGGCGGAGCAGTGGCATGCAAGGTGAGCCCCTCCTTTGCCTGGCCTTACCCACCCCACCCAACCCCTTCTAGCATCTTCCATTGAAGCCTCATGTTCTTTGACTTTACCAGCCAGGAGGCCCTTCCTCCACCAGGCTTTGCATCCCGGTTTCTCTCCCTTCACACACAAACCAACTGAATTTGTCTTAAGAAGTTGTTTTAAGGGTGAGTTTCCTGCTGTTTCTCCTGAAGCTTGTCTTCAGCCTTGCCCCCTGGTGGAGTGGCTAAAAATTCCAGAGT